GAGTATTCCACCCCACAGTCGTGGTTTTTTTTTTGCCCCGGAAAATACAGGGGTTCCGGACAGGCATCCGGACAGGGCTTCCGGTCCGGTCCGGATATTCCGGAATATTCCGGTTTTCCGGAAGTCTGGATGTCGCCAGGAAGTCCGGGGTCCGGGGTCCGGATTCGGTCCGGAGTCCGGTTCTACCAAAATGGAATTCTTTTTTGTTTTGGGACCATTTCTAGATTTACATGTGTCATCCTTGTGCAGGGGTCATTCTATGTATCGTCCCAATTTTAATCTCTGTCTCGAAGGAAGACTCGATCTTCAGCCAGCTGATTTTCCTTCCCTTATCCTACCTGCAGGATCATGATCTTACCATTCACAAATGGAGTAGTAAATGGCCCGCCCTGTTGCAAGTAGAGCATCTCTCATGCTGGGATACCTGCTCAGAACAGAACACAAATCGATGGAACCATATGAATGTCACACAAAACAGTTACTTTGCTTGGCATCACATCCCATGTGATTACGTGGAAAACAGTCATACACTGCACTTCCAAGGAATCAGGGTTCGTAAACGTGCCCTGCAGCAGAACCCAAGCAACAATATTATAATCCCAAAGGACACTTGATTGATATGAAAGGATTTCATAGTTGTCCGCCTGGTCCCACTTCCAGTTCCAGTCCTAGGCCCTGTCACATGTGCAAGGAAAATGAGAGAGAGCAATAGACAGAAAACCAAATTGCAATATCACGATGAAGACCAGATGGTCGTGTCCCAATCAGAAAGCACAATGCACTGAGATACAAGCCAAATAAGAGCTACTAACACTAGCCTACAAGATCTTGGCAAAACTACTAGCCAACAGAATTCAAAAGATCACCAAAAACTGCTTTCATATAGACCAACCTGGATTCATCCTACGCCGGTTCATCCTAGACAATGTCATGACCCTAGCAGAATCAGTGAGATACATCCAAGACGAACAAATGAACGCAGCAATCTGTTTCTTTGACCTCGGAAAAGCATACAATCAAGTCAACTGGGACTTCTTACAACAGTGCACGGAAACAATGGGAGTAGGACCGAACTTCAGGAACTTCAGGAAATGGGTAGGAGTCCTCTACAACGACCCGATGGGGGCAGTACAAGTCAACGGTCACATCCCCAACAAGTACAAAATGTCCAGATCGGTCAGACAGGTAACCCCTTGGCAGCCCCAATCTTCCTCGTCATCATGCAAGCCATCGCCTCATTCTTAACGAAGGACCCTTCCATCCACAGACTCACGGGGCAGACATAACAAAATCCGCACAAGTACCATATCCCCCCCACAATCTTGTTTGCAGATGACCTGACTGTCCTCATAAGAGCATCATCTTCATCATGTAAAGCACTCACCAGAGCAATGTGTGCATTCCAGCTAGCCTTCGAAATGAGCATCAATAGGGGACAGCCATCTGGATCCCGCCGGACTCCCGGCTGGAGGTGCTGCACTCGGAACAGGATACAGAAGAAGCGCAATGGGTTTCGATTTTGGGGGCGCTGGAATTAGAACTAATCTGTATCTTTTGTATCTACGCCCCCAATACGGCTCCTGAGCGGGAGGAGTTCTTCGGCAGGATCCAGGCAAAGATCCCGCAAGGTATCCCGATGATCTTAGCAGGGGATTTCAATGCGGCCCCTGACCGTTGGCTGGACCGTTGGCAAGTCCCCCCCTCCATGGCAAGAAATGAAGAGGAGGATGAGGCCATGATCAACCACTTGTGCGATTCACTCTCACTCTTTGACACATTCCGTCGTATATTCCCCACCGAGCGCACCTTCACATGTATCTGTAACACCAATCCTGCCAGGCTCTCCAAATCACGAATCGATTTGATCCTGGCATCGGAGGCAGTAGCTGTAAGCCTCTCTTTGGCCGCCATCCTCCCCTCCGGCCCATACCCGGGTTTGGATCACAAAATGTACATGGTGGCGCTGACTTTCAGGAAAAGACCGGACCAAGGGTCTGGTTTCTATAAACTAAATACTTCATTACTTCGGTTCAATGCATTCCAGCAGTATTTGGCCCAGGTATGGGCATACTGGAGAAATCGCCGGCTGCAATAGACTACTGTCACCTGGTTCAACAATGGACTCTTCTTTCTGGCTAAAAAATGTAACGAATTCTCTAAGCAATTCGGTAGACAACGTCACCAACATGAGATCGACCTAATGCAGTAGCTCCAAGAGCTGGAACAGCGCGAGTTGGACCGGCAACACAACCCGCGTACGACGGAGCAGCATATTCAATGCATTAACAAAGTTAAAGCTGAACTTTTCCGACAAGCTCAGTATAGGTGGCAAGGTGCGGGAATCTGAGGGAAGCTATCCAAACACTCTACTGAAGGCACAATGGACTCCAAATTCTTTGGGCTTGCCCAAGCCAGATCTAAGCGTACTGTAGTAGAAGCCCTGTACGACCTGGAGAGGACAGAGGAGAACCCCATCCTCACCACAGCTGGCTGCGTCAAAATAGCCCGTGATTTTCTCAAAGATGTGTTTGCCTCGCATATCCCCCCCACTGAGGAAGAAACCCGTCTGCGCCAGATTGAGGACTTCCTGCAACCTATGACCAAGACACTCGCCCCGGAGCAAAGGGATAGCTTGAGGCACCCCTTTCAAAGGACGAGATATGGACGGCCTCCCAAAGGAATTTTGGGAAACGACATGGAACCAGTTGAGTTCGGATCTGATGGACTATTACGCAAAAGTATGGCGTTCAGGGGATATGGGGGAATTGGTTGCCCAAGGCGTGTTGTCTCTCCTCTATAAAAAAGAAGATAAGACGAACATTCGGAACTACCGCCCCATCACCCTTTTGATTGTTACCTATAAGATGGTGGCAAAAGCATTGGCAAACCAAATGATCCCAGTTCTAGAGGAGCTGATACATCCATCCCAGATGGGCTTCATGCAACACAGACACATTCATGAAAATATTCTTTTAATTCACGAAATGAGGCAGCTAACTCGTCCATCGAAGAAAAACGCGGCCTTCATCTTCATCGATTTTGAAAAAGCCTACGATCACGTAGATTGGCTTTTTTTTGACAAGTGCCTAGAAAAATTGGACTTCGGACCGGTCTTTCGTCGTTGGATAAGGATACTACACCAGAATGTCACCACAAGGGTACAAATCAATGGGTCCCTGGCCCCGCCAATAAAATTGGAAAGGTCGGTGCGACAATCAGATCCTATTGCGCCCTTTCTTTTTCTTATCATTATGGAGGCTCTATCTGCTGACCTGCAGGCAAATACGGATTTGTCCAGAATAAGCATATCTCGGATCCCGGAGGAAGCCATACCAATATGCTCGCTATTCGCGGACGACCTAACCATCATGGTCAACGCCACGCAAGAAAATATGGAAGAAGTGACACGGTTGATGGAACGCTTTGCAAATGTCTCGGACATGGCCGTAAATTGGGGAAACAAAACCCAGGGTTGGTGGATCCACCATCAAGGGGGGAGACCCCCTGACTCCCCCCACATACGATGACTTCCTTTGGAAGCTCTGCTGCGGATCTTGGGGGCGTCCATGTCCGCTTGCGGGCGCCCACCGTTAAATGACGAATCGATCAGTGCACCAGCCCTGGCCAAGCTGTCCAAGTGGCGAAACAAACACACCTCGCTTTTGGGACGAGCACTAGCTATCAACAATGTAGTTACATTGTGGTACAAATCGGTTCTCTGGGCACTAAGCAAATGTGGCGTGGTGAAGACGAGCGGGCAAATGTGCTAAACCGGGTGGCATGGGATTCGGTGATTCAACCAACGAAAGGGGGAGGCTTGGGTATCATTGACCCCCAAACGCAAGTACGAACCCTCCGCCTCCAAATGATAAAAAAACTGCTTTTTTTTCCACTCACTGCCCCTGGCGGGCTCTGGCCCTGGAACATATAGCCCATTTAGCCCACCGGCCCCAAGTGGACTCCACCCGCTCACATGGCTAGAAGACAGGTACTGGTCGATCCCTCGAAAAATTCAGGGTCAGGCAGTGGAACAAGTCTGACCGTCGTTATTGGAATCCTGGCGTCAGCTGCCCCTCCCTGAAAAGCAAACACCTGAACGATGGGAGGAAGTGGCCCGGCAACCACTATTTGGAAATCGGTGGATTACACCTCACTCAGGGCAAGTGCTCTGCAGTTCAGCATCACCGTGGAAGGGGTGGGTGCAGCATGGGATCATGCGGGTGGGACAGCTATGGGATCTGGAAAGAAAAGACTGGAAGTCAGCAGTGCAACTACGGGACGGCCTCCGGTACTGCCACCACATAGACAATCACTTGGACATGATCACTGACGCCATCCCACTTGCATGGTACGGAATACCGCGACGGGGTCCTACCCTCCAAGAGGGCGATTGGGTTGGCCTGCGGGGGGAGCCGCACATGAGTGCCAGGATCCACCAACTTCGACGCACAGGCGTACTAGTGGAATTCTATTCACTTGGGCCGAGAAACCAGTTGAGGGGCTCCCGCAACCCTTTCCTATGGCGGGAGAGGGAGGAGGTCTTCCGTGTACGTGTGCTAGGAGATGACACTAACTTTTTTGTTTTTCAGCCCCAGTCCCCCGTTCAGGAGTTGGCTTTGGACCCCTTAAAACGGAAATGGCAGCCTGCCAGGAAACCGACGACTGGGCCTGCAGGCAGACCAACGAATGGGCCAACCAAGGAGATCCACCTTCAGAATTTGTTGGTCAGAACCACATACAGGATGCTCCACTTAAAGAGGCAACTGAGGGACCGGGCCCTCGTCACGCCCATCAAATGGTTCAGCGAAAATAAAGCCCGGTTGTCTAAAATTACTTCATTACAGTGGCAGATCGCCCACCGCTGCCTCCCCACAAACGCCTGGTTAATCGACAACACTCATCTGGAGCAGAAAGGTGTTGCACTACCCTGGTGTTAATGGTGCCTCACAGCCTTCCCCTCACGAAAATGGAACGAGACCATCAAACACATCTTCATGCAGTGTCCGGTGGCCATATTGACGTGGCGTTGGTGGGACAGACTGTGGCGCAATCAATCAATCAATCAATCAATCAATCAATCAATGATTAATCAATCAATCAATCAATCCATCTTCGATTGTCCCCGCGCTTGTGTCAGATCAGGTTGTCCTGATTCACAAGCGGGGCTCCGATACCAAACTGGCGCATGCCCAATGGGACAATGCGTAGGGAGCCAAGGATCCGCAATGTGATGAAAAGGACTGAAATGGACAATGCAAGGTCAGCGTAGCATCAACAAGCAATGTACATTCCGATACATACAAGATGGCACAAAGTGGCGCAGTGGAAGACTTAAAGAGAAGATCTGATCTGATCTGGACTGACCCGACATCCATCATACATCACACATGTGAGAAGGGAGGAGGGACCGCAATCACAGAAGAA